TGTGCAGGGAAAATTTTTTTCATGACGAATGTCGTCGCGTCGTCGCAGCTTTACATGTAAATTCTAATAATATGTTTCTATGTGTACTACACTGAACTTATCTCATAAATACTAAAAAAATGATTTTTTTTACACCTGGCAAGACTCATACCTTTTTTGAAGTAGAACCGCGAAGGTTATTAGAGTGATTCACCACACGGTGTTATTGGGGGGTAATTGCGACGTTTTGAAGCGGTTATTAGAATTATTCTGCGGGTGTTATTTAAGGGTTATTGTGGCGTTATTGAGAACTTATTGGAGTTGTTCAACGAAGGTTGTTGAAGTGAAATCATAGAGATTATTGAAGCGGTTCACCGCGTAGTGTTATTGAGGGGGTTTTTGCGGCATTATTAGAGTTAATACCCCCAATAGCCCTGAAATAACACCGAATTTGATAGATTTAAACTTCGAAAATATGTTATGCTATTTGAACACACTTCAACGAAACTTCTTAAAATCATTAATAAAATTACAAAACATATAAAAAACTTTCATTTATGTTTAAACAACACAAATTTACTCATATCATAGACTATTTCTGCTCTAAATTTAGACATATCTTCCTGTCATCCTAAATTATCACTTCAATAGTCTCTATATATTTGTACTAGTGTTGTGGGTAGGAGTGATAAATTACGACGACAATGTGTCCATGAGCTGCGGCCGTGCGCTATGCCGTGGTGTTTGATAGATCGACAGTCATGCAGAGTTCTGGGATGGCATCGAGAAGATCCCACACAACATCTCATAACATTACCGCTTCGTTGATTGAGAGCAGAGGACACTGCATTTTGATTCTAGCAAAGGCAAATATGACTTGTGAACTGAAATTGCTATGAAAGTGGATAACACTGCATTTTATTTAGATAGCATGGTCCAGCACGATTTATGTAAAATAATTAAGACATAAATTTTAATTGATCATTTATTCACTATATTCATTTTGAAATAACTCTTATAATTTTAAGATTCCACGTATCTAAATTTTAATCAAAATTATAATTAGTTGTATGCTTGGAAAGCACAAATAGAAAATCCCACATATTAAATTCTAATGTTGCAATCAGTCTTCTATTCAAAGTAAACAACTGTACCGACCTTATTGCAAACAACGTATAGTCTTTGTTGATTAATAATGTCGACATTTAGAGACGATGAGTCGTCAGTAATGTAAGAAGTGCCAACAGCCAAAAAAACATCTTTAGTGAACTTTAACGTCTTTAATGAAAGACTATTCTCTTTTAATTCTCTACTCATGGAGAAAGCAAACCGTGTCGATCAAAAGTGCGCATATTCATCCTTAGCCCTTGCACTCATTAACAAATATACTTATATATATTTATTAAGCATGCTAACAAAATACTTTTAGCAATCGAGTGCAAACATCTATACATACTTGAGGCATTCTTCATTCAACAGCTACTGCCAAATTTTGAATCATATTCTATTTCTCCACCTCATCAAACATTGTCCGGCCATCCATCCGTTGCACAAAGTATTCCTATATTGACAAAATTAAAAGTATAGTTCAAATTTAAAATTCACGATTCAAATTTTCAAGTTGATTAAATATTTGAACTGCCACTGATTCTTTGGCGCTAACAAAGCCTTGAAACACTTCATAGTTTAAATACATGAGAGCACACAATATATTAAACATTAAATTGGGTTCATCCTTATTCTTTACATTGACAACCAGATAATCTCTCTCCTTCCAACTTTCAATTAGTACCTGAGATTAATATTTTGCTTCATTATTTTTGTCGGCTACCTCATAATCTGTATACTCTTGCAATAGCTAGTGTAGTCGCCGCTCTGTGTGGATCTGTCATGCTAAAGGATTTCGTAGTCGCACCTCTCACAACTCTTTAAGGAAGTGCTGCATATTCATCAAACTTGCTGGGTAATCTCCCAAGTGGTCAAAACATTCTCAATCAAATATGTATTTGATTTCTAAATTCGTGTCATGTTCTTTTATATAAATGGTACAAGAGAAACGAGCATTATGAGTCAATAACTCACCAGAGTCATTATCAATACAAACCCTGCTTCAAAAATTAATATTTTTCTAAGTTATACTTAAATAAAGTAAAGAGAGAGTAACTAATATGCTCTAAACATTCTTCGCTCAAAAGCTGATGCCAAACTTCGAATCACAAAATATTCTTGTATTGCAAAATATAAAAAAAGTAAATAATTTTTAAAAAAGACTATTCAGAATTCAAAAATTGATTAATTACCTGAAATGCCACTGATTCATTACAGCTAACAAAGCCATGAAACACATTATAGCCTATATCCGTCAAAACACATATTGTGTCAAACATGAGCTTGGGTATATCCGTCAAAGCACATATATCCGTCAAACATATTGTTGAAGGGATTCGTAGTCGCACCTCCCACAACTCTTTAAGGAAGTGATGCATTTTCATCAAACTTACTGAGTAATCTCCCAAGTAGTCAAAACATTCTTAATCAAATATGTGTAAATTAGTGTCATGTTCCTTTATATAAATGGTGACACTACCATTGTGAGTCCATAGTCCACTAGAGTCAATTACATACGAGTGCTTGAAGTGCACATCGACAACCTCAAAGAAAATGTCACGGCGATCAAGGAAATCAAGTGCAAGAGTAGTGTTAGTGAAATGATTAAAATTCATTATCCTCCCATGTCAGATTTTTACTTGTGGTGGGTTAGAAACTCAGTCTTTTTTTTTTGTAATATTGATAGAATGTTGTATGTGGCATATAAGGGTGGAAGTCTTTGAGTTTATGATCATGGTAATTGGTGACATGGAATACATCCATGAACTAATCACCATCAGATGAAATGTATGATTTGGAGATGATAAGATCCAAATCACTTAGAAATTGAATTATTTTAAAAAGAATGATATGCATGTTTGCGCCGTTGATCTGCATTCAATCAAACAAATAAAAATGTATTTAGGTTTTATAAATAGATATAGATATAAATATAATGTATGACAAGATAATCAAAATTATTTTACTGATAAAAAACAAATAAAAATATCTTGACAAAAGTATAATCATCGGACATTTCATTATCAATACAAACCCTACTTCAAAAATTAATATTTTTCCAAGTTATACTTAAATAAAGTAAAGAGAGAGTAACTAATCAGATATATTAGAGAATACTTGGTGGAGTGGGGGGGTGTATTGTGAGGGATGAACAATGTAATGGTCGAAGTAAAGATAACTATGAGCCATTATTATTATTTCTGTAGATGTTAATTTATAAGAAGAATTAAAATAAAATTTTGTTGGAAAGAATTGTCTTCTTTTATTTTCTTACAAAAGTTAATAGTTCAGATTGACGGTTTAATGCAGTCGGCATTGAGCTCGGAAACTTTTAAATTTTCTAAAAAAATGAATCTATATTTCAATTCGTTTATTAAAATTATGAAATGCAATCTCATGAATAAATTATTTTTCTAGATAATTAAATAGCAATTATAAATTTATTTAACATTCCGTGATTAATTTTTATAAAATCTTATTTATATTTTTTTTCTTTGTTCTCAATGAAATAAGTTAGTTTACTTCGGTGATATGTAACAGATTTTTAATTCAAATAGAAGAAAATGTTTTGAATTCTCTTTTTAATATTATGATTAAAATTATAATTTCAAGATAAAATAATTTTCTTGATAATTAACATTGCGTTTTTAAGGAAATAAAGCAAAACAAAAGTAATTAGAAGTAGCTTTGGAACAAATTGCTCCCTATAATTAGGTATAATTGTTCTGTTTTCTTCCTAATTACTAATTAAATACATACTTTCACATTGTATGTGAATTTGAGGAGTAATGCTTAATAAAATGATGAAAATATATATATTCATGTAAATTAATTATATTTTTAGAATAATATGTCAAATATTTTTATCTATTGATCTTTAAATTTGTAATATTTTTTTCATTTATTTAATTCTCCCGATAAATTTTCTTAAGCTAAAATTTATCTGTCATTGTTTCTCGTACTTTTTTCAAAATCAAATAAAATGTTAGTGCTCAAAAATAGATGGTTTTATATTCGTAGGATTACATGTAAAATATAATTTAAGATTAAAAAAAATAATTTAAGACATTTATGAATGAGAAAGCAAAAGACTCTTTATATTTAGAAATTTGTGAAAATTTACCTTCATTTTTTGAAGATGAAATTTTATTATGGATCATTTTCATATTCAAAAATAATCTTTTTGACCAAATTTATGTTTAGAGTAAATTAAAAAATAATTTAGCTTTTCATCCTTTTGAGATTTAATGACCCTTTTATCATTCCATAGGAATGCTTTATAAAATAGGTTCTCGAACATGATATTCCTCTCGATCAATGCAAATGGCAAATTCTCCGACTTCGATAAATTGATTTCATTTCAAGATAATCGTCAATTTTCGATCTCTCTCGAGTTTTTTTAATATTTATTCGATGATTTCTGTTATTGAAGTATTAATCTTACGTTGTTGAGATTAATAGATAAATAGGAATTGTGTAGTATAAATGTACATAATGGACGCATGAATGCGTTGAGGAAATTATTTGAAAAGAAAGAAGTTAGAGCATACATCTGTGAATATATTGGAGATGTCAAATTTAATCAACCATTAGGAATTAATTCACAAAGATTAATATGTATAATGCCTCATTGTAAAATATTCTATTCGATAAAGGCGAGATTTTGAAATAATATGATTGTTGAATAATCGATGAATTGCAACAATGATCAGTCCAATTAAAGCATCACATAAGTTTCAAAAACATAATAATAAAGTTCAGAAGCTTCGAACTTGATAATACACATACCATGCACTCCTCCATCTTATAATTATAGCTGATAAGAATTTGTTTTATTATTATAATTATTACTTTTATTAAGAATATTGTTGTATAATATGCACTGAAATACGTGAAAATAATCAAACATCATAAAAATGAGCACCAAACTACGTAATTAAGGATTAAAAAAAAATAAGAGAGTTCACAATTGAATTGCTACACATGAATTATTAAAACTATTATAAAAATTATTCTAAAAAAAACACATTTAGAATCAAAAAAAGAAAAAAATAGTTTATCTAATGAAATTAAAGGTGTTGAAGATGCGTTTGATGTGAAACCACAAGCTCCTCCCGAGAGAACAAAAAGCGGCAAAAAGGTTCCATCTCCCACGAATAGTTAAGTTAATATTATGATTATTCTTTTTTTCAAATAAAATGTCTTTTCCGAGTTCATCTTCTAACATTTTCATCCTTTGTTGATCAATATTGTCTGTATCGTTGTCAGTGATATAAAATGTTCCGATGGCCAAACAACCATCTTTTTGCAAACTCTGCTGTTTTGAAGGACATGTTATTTTCCCTCAATTTTCTGCTCATGACTGATAGGAGACCGTGCCTGTCAAAAGTGTGCACCTCCATCTTCAGTCCCTACATTCATTAACAAATATGCATAAATTATGCATGCTAGAAAAACATATTTTCATTAATAAAAAATAACAAATATCTTTATATACTCTAGACATTCTCCGTTCAACAGCTGCTGTCAAACTTCGAATCATATTTTGTTTCTCAATCTCATTGAACATTATATGCTCATTCATCCCTCGCACAAAATATTCCTGCATTGCAAAATATAAAAAAAATGTAAATATTTTTTTTATAAAAAGACTATTCAAAATTGAAAATTGATTAATCACCTGAAATGCCACTGATTCGTGGCAGCTAACAAAGCCATGAAGCACATCATAGCCCATATCCGTTAAAGCACATATTGTGTCAAACATAAGCTTAAGTCTATCATGAGTTTTTATATTTATAACCAAATAATCTCTATCATTCCAATTCTCAATTGACAGGTGGGGTCGACACAGTTGTTCACTACTTTTCTTGACATTCTCAAAGCCCCTGTCAGCATCCATGAGCTTAGATAAGCTCAATTGATCTCCCTCAACTGGTAATGGTGGTGGTCCTATCTCATAATCCTTGTATTCTTGTAACATCTGATGCAATCGTCGCTCTGTATGGATTTGATCTGATGTGGGATTTCAAAGTCGAACCTCCCATAACTCGTTAGACAAATGGTGGACCTTCATCATACTTGCAAGATTTTCTCCCAAACAGTCATAGCGATCTCGATCAGTGATTGGCATGTCTGTGTCCTGTTCCTTTAGATAAATAATACAAGCCACACGACCAATTGAGTTTATGTCTGTGGTGATCGGTGACATGGAAAGCATTCATGAACCAATCACCATCGGATGAAACGCAGGATTTCAAAATAATAAGATCCAAATCACTTAGAATTTGAACATTTATACTACACAATTCCTATTTATCTATTAATCTCTACAACGTAAGATTAATACTTCAATAACGGAAATCACATATGACTGGAATAATTCATAAATTAAGTTAAACATACATAAAAATAATGTACATTATTGCAACTCAAAAATATAATTACTCACATAAACTTAGAAGATTTGCTGTCCTTTATTTTCATTGCTCACACAATCTGAATTAATGGCTTTTTTAATAGGATATTAATTTTTACTTATTAACTTTTCAATTAAACTTATATAAAATAATAATAACAAAAAAAAACACCAAATCCTAATCCATGCATTTTCTTTCTCTCTTCTTCTAAATTCAACGATTTTGATTTCCAAATCTTACAATGCAGAGTTCTTCCACTGAAGATTTATATCATAAAATTAGCATAAACTAATATTAATATTAATAAGATTCATTTAAATGAAAATATATTTACCTTAATCATTCCAGAACTCCCGCACGAGGTCCAAAACGCACTGGCTAGAGCTGCTCAGCTTGATTCAGTCTTAAACATATAATTAATATTTAATATAAAAACATATATCTAATATATATATATATATATAAATGTACATATGTATGTATATACACATACATATGTATGTATATACACATACATATGTTTGTATATACACATACATATGTATGTATATACACATACATATATATGTTTGTATATACACATACATATATATGTATATACACATACATATAGATATCTATATATAGATATCTATATATATATCTATATATATGTACACACATGTGTATATACAAACATATATATGTATGTGTATATACATACATATGTATGTGTATATACAAACCATACATATATTTATATATATATGTATGTATATATACATACACATATATATGTATATATATATATATAGATACATATATCTATATATATATGTATGTATATATACATACACATATACATACACATATAGATATAGATATATATCTATATAATACATATATATATATATATGTATATATGTATACATACATACATACACATATATATATGCATATACATATAGGTAGCCAGAATACAATGAGATATTACTTTACCTAATATTGCTGAAGTCTGGCTGGGCATAACTCGTAATGGATATTGGCAACAAATTGTTATGGAACATAGACCTTTTTATTGTACCCACTGTGAGATGTTTGGGCATACCCTTGATAAATGTCACAGACTCCATCCTAATTTGAAATCTAAAGCTCAAGTGAACAAAAATGGGTCTAACCCCACTGCTTTGGACACATCTGCTCCAACTGCGGTGGAAATTACTACAAGACAGGAATTGGTATCTTATTTAATTGCCCCTGTGGACCCCCCTCACAATACTGTTTCTATTTCTGTGATTGATGTGATGCAAGATGGCTCTGTTGGGCAACCTATACTATCAAACATTATTGAAAACAATACTGAAGGATCCTTACCTACAAAGGATAGTGTTCGGACCGATAATCAGGAGAGTCTTGCAACTCCTCATCTTCAGGAAGTATCCAGTGTAGAGGCGACAACTCATACTTCTGGCTAGATTACTAATTTTGGAATGGTGAGAAGCTCACTCCTCCTGCTATCATAATAAATTTTAACTCTGGTGAGGGATTGTTGGGATGGTAATCTGCGAAACTGCAGAATGCTTCAAACTCTTATAACCCCACCACAAATCACAAAGGTATTAGATACTCCTTTCTCGCCTGGACAGAAAGATCAGTTAGTTACTAAACAAGCCCTTTCCCAAAAGCTATCCTCCTTCATCTACCATAATTTTTTTCAATGGGAACCTTTACATTGGGCCGATCACAAGCTTCTTAACAAGTTGAACACGTGCCGTTTGCGAACAACGACCTATTTTAACATACCTAACGATGATAGAGAAAAAAAAGGCAAAGCAGAAAACTAATCATTAGGTTGTTAATTAACATTTTCTCATAAAACGATGCACTTTTTATATTGAAGAGGTATGTAATATAGAAAGAGAAATTTACTTATAATAGCACACATTTCTGACGTAAATGCATATCTCACGCCTTAGAAACATTTAACTATTAAAAACATAAAGAAAACTAAACACGCAGATCTTCGTCATCTTTTGTCTCTCTTCTCCTACTCAACATCTTCTTCATCCTTCGTAACAGCCGCTCCCAAAAGTTTTCTGGTATTTGCTGTCGCGCCAACTTACCTGCTTGATCAAGTTTGCCACTGCCGGACCTAAGCGTGGGCAGTCCAGATCGCAAGCGAATAATCCTTACGATCTTTCCCATTGCAATCTTCGACTGCCTCAACCATTTCTTCGTATTTATAGTGATCTTAATAGAAAATAAGAAAAAAAAAATTTAATTAGATTTCATTTGTTTTCTTAAAAAAAGAAAGAAACGATTTTGTATGACACGGATAATTAATATGCTAATGGGACAATAAGGAGAATCGTCATCTTTTGTAAAACCATTAAAGAGACTCATCAGCTTTCGTAAAACCAATAAGGAGAAAAGCCAAATAAGTTGCCATTATGGATAAAGTTATTTAACTAGAAATGATTCTTAAGAAAAAAATAGAGGAAAGGGAAAACTCACCAGTTCAAATAACTTGCAATAAATGATCCAAATAGATCCAATTTTCTGTGACAGAAGTGGCTCACTCAATTAGGATAATCATTTTCTACTAAAGGAAACATATATGATGGGATTCACAGTTGCATGAAGACGACATTTATTGCTCTTCGGAGGATGAACAACATGATGGACTTCAACCCAAGTATGCTCAATTTTACCTCTTCTTAAATAATAAATAAATAAAAATCTAGAATTTCATATCTAGATAAATATCTGACTTTGATAATTCTTAAATAACTTGAGGGTTTTGAAGTCATTATTAACTCTTTCTTTGTTTATGTTCTTTCGTATGGGAACTGTTGGTATTTGCTAGCCATTATTTCAATTTAAGAATGTTTTTAATTAAACTTGTTGGCCCAATCTTGCTTGATGCTTGACAACTAGATAAATTGTACAATTTTGCTTGAGCAACTCTGTACTTGTTTTATATTTGCTGCATTCTTTTGATGAAGTTTTCGATTAAAAACTTTTAACAGTATGACGCATTCATCTGGTCTCTGGAAGCTGAGGGGGAGAGTTGTGCGGTGCAAGCATCCAATGGGGAAGTGCCACAGTGGATGGGTTAAATTTTGGGTTTAAAGGTAAGGTGTTTTTCTCGGTTTGGGGTTTTTTGTCCACCAGGCTGGTCGGTCAGGCTAGGGGAGGTGGTTAGCTGGCTCAGGGAAGATTATGGAAGCTTAATGGTGATTAGTTTCAAGGTTTCATGGCTAATATCATGGGGGGAAGAGTTTCAGGTGAGCAAAAAAATTAACATTAGAGAATGAAAAGACATATCAAATAGTGAAAACGTGTTCTAATGCATAGCGTATTAGTATAAAATAAAATAAAATAATCATAAGGTGCTCGAATGTTGGATTCGAGCGCTCAATCCAAAAAATAAAAAAATAATAAAAGTTTTTTTTTTCGAATGATTTTTTCGTTATTTTTTAGTGTTATATATAGATAACAGAGATAACATATTAGGAAGTTGTATTATGTTCATATTTAATTTCTCCCCATAAATATTAAATTTCTTTTAGCATTTTTGGTAGAATATAACCACAATTAATTACTAGGTTTAAAAAAATAAATTGGTTTAATTGAATAACATGTTCTTTCTTTTTCCTAATTAATAAAATACTATGAGCATGCATCCAAATAAATGAATTGTTAGTAAGAATGGAGAGAAAAAAAATTAGTTTGCAAAAGTATCAATTGCTTCTAGGAGAAAAATAAATGTGTCACTGATTTTTTTAAATAAGAATAAATGTAAAATAAAAAAATCAAACAGAAAAAAATGAAAAAAATTGCCATGAATTATAAAGATCATGATTATAAAGATATCTTCAATAGACGCCTAATTATTATTATTATTATTATTATTGTTATCATCTAAATTTAGTGTATAGATATCTTCATTTTTTATTTTTTTTCACAAATTTAATATATCATATATCATTAGATAAAAATAAACATAAAATAAGAAAAATCAAACAAAAAAATGGCAAAACTTGCCATGAATTATATAGATCATAAGCACTAGAAAACCAAAAAAAAATTAAAATCAAAATATTAACATTAAAATAGGATAAATATAGAATTTTAAATCATTGTATTTATTATAATAATTAAAATAAAATTAATTAATCATATATTATGATTTTATCACATCATCGTATCCATTATTTTTTTTATTTGGTTAAATTTATAATAACCGATTCAATGAATTAAACAAATTAATACAAATAAAAATTTTGAAAATAAGAAAAAATTCAGGCTTTGTGTGCGTAAATTATAGAAAAAAAAAAACATATCACTCATGAATTGTAGACTCATTACAGTGCTCTTCATCAATTGTTGCAAAAAAAAATACTGCTTTGACATTTTCTCGGATGTCATTACAGTGCTCTTCAACCTCTCTCATGCTATCGACTCGGGTGAATTGTAGACTCATAGCGGTCATGTGACTCGCATATTTATATAAAGGAGCGGGACACAAGTATGCCCATCACCGATCGGGATTGCTTTAACTATTTTAGAGAATACCTTGCAAGTTTGATTAAGGCGTCAAGGGCCATCATTTTCCTAATGAGTTCTAGGAGGTTCAACTTTGAAATCCTACATCCCGTCAAATCCATACATAGTGGTGACTACATCAATTGTTGCAAGAGTACTAGGATTAGTGGATAAAATAGCCACCATTATTAGTTGAGGGTAATCATTTGAGTTTATCTGAGTTCATGGACGTTGAAAGCAAGTTTAGGGGTGTCGATAAAGGTGATGAAGTACTATGTCAGCCACAAGTGTCGATTGAGAATTAGAAATAAAAAGATTAACTAGTTGTGAATGTAAAGAGCCATGATAGACCTATGCTCATGCTTGACACAATATGTGGTTTGTCGGATATGAGTTATGATGTGCTTCAAGGCTTTGATAGCTGTCATGAATCAATCACATTTTAGGTGATTAATGAATTTTGAATTTTGAATTGTCTATTATAAGAAAATTATTTACACTTTTAATTTGTTTCAACACATGAATATCAAGTATCAGCTTAGCACTATCTTTACTTCTCACATTCGCAACTAAATAATCCACCTCCTTCCTGTTCTCAATCGACTCAAGAGGCATACACGACCCTTTATTCTCTTTGTCGACACTCTCAAACCTCCTTATAGCATCCATGAATATAGACAAGCTTAACTAATCATCCACATTTGATAATAGTAGTGATCATATCATATGTTCTTTATACTATTGCAACAACTGATGTAGTCGTCATTTTAATCCAACATGATGTATGTATTCGTAGCTGCACCTCCAATAACTCGTTAGAAAAGTAGTTGGCTTTCGTCATAGTTGCTTTGGAGTTTGACTAGAAATTGCATACCCATGTTATTTTCTTTCATATAAATGATGCAAGCAATATGATCAGTGTGAGCCCGCGGTTAACCTGAGCTAATGGCATAGGAGAGCTTCAAGATCACAAAAACAACCTCAGAGAATGGGTCAGGGTTGTCTAGAATGTGACACCATAGATATGACTTCTAAAATTTCTCACTTGTTATCAAATACAACAACAATTAACTGTATATCAACCTAAGGTATGAAAACACTACTCTATGATGGATCAAATCGTAAAATAATTGTTCGTTGTTTCATGGGATTGCGTATCATAAGTCTTTTTCATGTCATAAAAGACCATGTTTGGTTTAATTATGAGGTTAGGTATTACTAAAACGACAAACTTTTTCAGTTAATTTAATCTTAAAAGACGGTGTTTAGTCAGATAGCCAACTCTTGTAATTATTTTTTTTTATTCCAAAATGACTTATCGGCTTAGTTAGTGCTCATTTTTATATTGTTTGATTATGTTCCAATTTTTCAATATAAATTATATTTTTTTTTATTCCAAAAGAAAGTTGAATTCTAAAATAAATAAATTAGTGAAACTTACGACTGATCTTCATTCAAGAAAGAATGAGAGAGAAAAACACTCAAGAAAGAATGAGAGAAAAAGGAAATAAAAAAAAATAAAAATATTTTTTTTCTAATGAAATTAGATGTTTTAAATAAACTCTTGATGTGGGACCACAAACTCCTCTTAGATAACAAACTCCATTTGTTGCGAACGACAGAGCTAATGCTGCAATCAGTATTCTTTTCAAAGTAAACATCCCCACCAACCTTATGGCGTACACTATCTTGCCATTATTAATCAATAGTGTCGACATTTATCTATCACTGTTCTTCTTTGAGTATGTGTGGAGGGAGATCTAGTTAGGGGCGTAGCTGAACAGGAGCGAGCTCATGCTTAACTCGAGTTCGACTCATAAAAAAATATTAATGTTCATGCTTGGCCCGTTTATATTTCGAATAGAAAAAAAAGTGTTTGTGTTCGGCTCGTCTGTTCGGCAAGTCGAACACAAGTTAACGAACAAAGTATCGGTTTGACAACCTTGGTGACTCGGCTATAGGATATTAAGGGTTGAGGCGAGATTTAAATTTTATTAATTATTTTAAAACATCATTTAAATATAATTTAATATATTTTTATCTATTTTTTAATCTATTGTTTAACGAATGATTTTAATCAATTATAAATCTTTGTAGCGTTGTAGTTAATTATTTTTTTAAAAAAATACAAACTCATCAATTATATATATATATATAGCCGAACAAGAACAAATCAAATTTTTGTTTGTGTTCGGCTCATTTATATATCAAGCGCAAAAAAAAATTCGATGTGTTTGACGCGTTAACTTAGCGAATGAATCGAACATGAACTACTTAAAGAGCCGAACACGAGCTGCTCACGAATAACGAGCCGTTTTCGCAGCCCTAAATCTATCTCTTTGGCAAAGCGGTTGTGTAGTTATTGCAGAAGAATTACTTTTCAAAAAATTATCATGACTATTATAAATTAATTTTAATTTTAAAAACTCAGAGCTTATCTTCTGGCAGCTGTCATTTTAACATCTCGAATTGAAAAAATAATAATTTTTTATCTGAGAGATTTCTAAAAAATAGTTTCTCAAATATTACTATAATAGCGCAATAAAAAGCAAAACAGACAAAATGATATCCTGAACATTACCAATATAATAGTTCAATTTTTACTTCCTTATGTTTGCTTATGTGAATTTTTTTTATTTTTAAATTGTATTTATAAGGTCAATGAATATTAATTTATATAGAAATAAAAATAAACTACTCTGAATTATGCTTAAGTCTTACTTGGCTATAATTATTTCCTTATTTTTTTAAAAATATGTTTGACGATAATGATAATTGTTGGAATGTGAGTAATAACTTATAATAATAACAACATGCTATATTTATGTTGTGAGTAAAATACTAGTTTTATTTATAGAGTTTATAAAAGTGTGAAAATAGTCTCCAATTAAAATTTAATGTGTTCTGAATCTATAATTATATATATTTTTATTAGCTTTTATTTATTTGATCATCATCTTTATTTCTTAGTTTCTTAATGAAAATTTCAAATGCATTAATCTAGAATAAATTGCATTTTATTTCATAATTAGGTTTGTCAGAGCTCCCTCACACATGAGAAGCTCCTCGGCTCTCTACAAACTAGTTCAGGCATGTAGCACATTCCGCCACTTCTTATCCTCTCACACAAGTTTATTTGAATTTTGGTTCGAATCATGATCCGATCGATCTAAAAGAGCAAAGCTATGAGTTAAATTGGATTGAATTTTTTTCGAGCCGATTTCAAGCCGAGATGGGCTCAAAATTGAATCGTTAACCATTCTAATAAAGTTAGAACTATAAATTTAGCAACTTTACCTCAAAGATTGTTAATTAATCACTTGAAAATTGATTCAAGCGATTTTGAAAGTAACAAAAGCAAATATGATTGGTGAACTCAAATTAGATGGGAAGATTCACAAACAAACCACTCAATTCCTATGTATTTACGTATCTAACATCTATACTTCAATTTTTACACGCATACCATCATACATGTGCATAAAAAGTTATATTTCTCTTCTTAAACAAGAATTTCTCGATGAGGTGCATTTTAATATTAATTAAGTGATGATGTTAAGTATATTAAACGTTACACAATAAAATATAAATCGAAGTAAATAAAATGATTTCTTCAGTCTACAATTGGAACTGATTATTATTTCATTGATTTAATTTAATATTATTTTTTCTCCTAACTTTTTCAAAATCAAATAAAATGTTAGTACCTAAAGATAGGTAGGTTCGTATTTATAGAATTACATGTAACATATAATTTAAGATAAAAAATTAAAAAAAAAATTAACACATCAATGGATGAGAAAGCAAAAGCCTCTTTATATTTATATTTATAAATGTTTGAAAAATTTCCTTTATTTTTTGAAGACTAAATTTTATTATAAATCATTTTCATATTTCAAAATAATCTTTTATTTGACCAAATTTACGTTTAGAAAAAAATTTAAAATAATTTATCATTTCACAATAATATTTTATAAAATTGGTTCTCGAACATATTTTGTTAAACAATCTACATAAATTACGGTGATATTCCTCTCCGTCGATGGTCACGACAAGATCTTCAGTTTCGATAAATTGATTTCATTTTAAGCTAATGATATTCCTCTCAAGTTTTTTTTTTCATATTTATTCGATGATTTTTATTATTGAAGTATTAATCCTATGTTGTTGAGATTAATAGATAAATAGGAATTGAGTAATATAAATGTAAATAATGGGCGTATGAATGTGTTGTGGAAATTATTTGAAAAGAAAGAAGTTAGAGCATAAATCCGTGAATAGATTGGACATGTTAAATTTCAGCAACAATCGGGAATTAATTCATAAAAGGAGCACCAATCTACCTAAATTAGGATAAAAAAAAAAGGAGTTGGCAATTGAATTGCTACACATGAATTAATAAAACTATTATAAAATTTATTTTAAAAAAAGACATATTTATAATTAAAAAAAAGAAAACAAATTCTATTTAAAGAAATTGAAGATGCTGAAGATGCGTTTGATGTGAGACCACAAACTCCTCCCGAGAGAACAAAATGCAGAAAAAATGTTCCATCTCCCATGAATCGTTGAATTAATATTATGATTATTCTTTTTTTCAACGAAACTGTCTTTTCCGAGTTCATCTTCCAACATCTTCACCTTTTGTTGATTAATATTGTTTCCATCGTTGTCAGTAATGTAGAATGTTCAGACGGCCAAGCAATCATCTTTTGCAAACTCTGCAGTTTTGAATGACATGTTATGTAGTTGCAATGTTCTACTCAAGACTGAAAGGAGACCATGCCGGTCAAACGTGTGCACCTCCATCTTTATTCCCTACATTCATTAACAAATATGCATAGATTAAACATGCTAAGAAAATAAATTTTTATTATTAAAAAAATACAAATGTATTTATATACTCTAGACATTCTTCGCTCAACAGCTGCTGCCAAACTTCGAATCACTTTTTGTTTCTCAATCTCATTTAACATTATATGTCCATTCATCCCTCGCACAAAATATTCCTGCATTGCAAAATATAAAAAATGTAAATAATTTTTATAAAAGACTATTCAGAATTTAAAAATTGATTAATTACCTGAAATGCCACTGATTCGTGGCAGCTAACAAAGCCATCAAGCACATCATAGCCTATATCCGTCAAAACACATATTGTGTCAAACATGAGCTTGGGTCTATCTTGACTTTTTACATTTATAACCAAATAATCTCTATCATTCCAATTCTCAATAGACACTTGAGGTCGACAAAATTGTTCATTACTTTTGTTGGCATTCCCGAAGCCCCTTTCAGCATCCATGAGCTTAGATAAGCTCAATTGATCACCCTCAACCGGTAATGGTGGTGATCCTATCTCATAATCCTTGTATTCTTGTAACATCTGATGGAGTCGTCGCTCTGTATGGATTTGACTTGATGTGGGATTTCGAAGTCGAACCTCCCATAACTCCTTAGGCAAATGGTGGACCTTCATCAAACTTGCAAGATTTTCTCCCAAATTGTCATAGCGATTTCGATCGGTGATGGGCATACCCGTGTCTTGTTCTTTAATAAAAATAATGCAAACCACACGACCATTGTGAGCCCACATTTCACCTGAGTCGATAGCATAGGAGAGATTGAAGAGCACTGCTACGACATCCGAGAAAATGTCGGGGCGGTCAAGAAAATATAATTCGAGAACAGTGGAGGCAATATGATTAACATTAATTATGTTGTCATGTCTGATTTTGACCTGGGCTGGGCTTAAAAATCTGTTTTGTCTTTGTGCATTATTGAGAAATTGTTTTATGAAGCATATGAGGTCAGGGTCATTGAGTTTATGTCCGTGGTGATCGGTGACGTGGAAAACATTCATGAACCAATCACCATCAGATGAAATGTAGGATTTCAAAATAATAAGATCTAAATCACTTAAAATTTGAACTATTTTAAGTAAAATGCCTTGTTTGTTTGCACCATCAACCTGCATTCAATTACAAAAAAATAAATATTTATTTTATCAAAAAATAAAATAACTTTTGCAAAACAAAATAGAAAAAAATTGACTATTTTAAAAAATGATAATACCTTAATGATTGTAAAGTCATCAGATGTAGCATTATCCATGCAAGCCCTGCGTCCAATAGTCTATATTTATCAAATTTATTTAATTAAAATAAAGAGAAGAACAAAACTAATAATCATAAAGTATTGAAAACATACTCGAGTGGAGGGATGAATTCTGAGAGAGGAACAAATTCAGGCTCGAAGTAGGGATAACTGTGAGTCATGTTATCCTGTAACTGTTAATTTTTAAAAAAAAATTGTTATCAGAATTTAACTAAAAAAATTATTTTTTTGTTCGTACAAAGTTTAATGATATTGTCTCTAAACTAAGATCTCTATTGCCTTATTTATGCAAAAAAATTATAAATTGTCTTGAAAATTTTAAAAAAAATTTATCATGAATAGAAAAATAAGAGCAGAATCAAGTGAAAGCAAAATATAGCTTAGTGGTTAAATATATGTATCAAGAATATATAAAAGTAATTAATGTATTTAAATTAAAAACGTTTAAATATAAAAATCTTTTTGTTTAAGTTGAAACCTAGTGGCAATTTGAATCTCTAATTTTTTGAGCAAAAAAATAAAATAATCCAAAAATAACATTAAAAAAATTGACTTATCATTTGTTATTTTTTTTAATTATTGAATTTTTTGCGGTAATTACGATTCCCTTAGTCAAAATTCTTTATTTTTTTTTCTAATTATATACATAGTTTATTGAATACAAATTAGAGAAGTTGTCAGTAAATAAAATGATTAAGAAAATATTTACTTAATTTAATAATTTTTTTTTGCAATTTATGAAATAAAAAAAATAAATAATGCTATATTTTTAAAATAATATATAAAATATTATTTTCTACTTATCATTAACGAGAAGTGAGATGGATAAAAGAACATTTTAAAAATCTAAAAAAATAAATTTAAGATAAAAAATAATAAATAAATAAATAAATAAATGTAACACTTCAATTAAGGGAACAAAAAAGAATAATTTGAAGTAGCTATCTAACAAACGGCTCTATATCAATTAGGAATTAAATAATGGATACGAATAAAAGAAATTTTGAAAACAAATGAATTAATACATCTATATCATTTTGCAAAAATCGAAAACTAAAATTAAAATAAAAAATAAATAGTAATAATAATGAACTAAAACTCGAAGCCTTTTTTTGAAATTTGAAGAAGCAAAGGGGAATGTGAGTGGGATGTGGGGCCGCCCAGTTTGATTAATTAAAAAAAATATATTAAAAAAGGGCATTTACATATATGCCACACAATTCTTAAGTATTTACATAACTAACACCTAAACAATCATATTTACATGCATATCACTCAAATCTTTAAATTAACATAAAGAATGTCACAAACGTTATCTTTTTAAAAGCGAAAAAGTGAAGTTTTTATGCATATTATTATAAATGTAAATATCAAATTTTGGGTGTTTAACTACATAATAATTATGTGTTATGTATGTAAATTTTCAAAAAAATTTATTTCTTGAAAAGTTGTATATTTTAAAATGCATACAAATATAAACTATTTTTTTTTCAATTTGCAAAGTAATAAATAAATGTGAGTAAGAAGTCATACAAATACAATATAGTTTAAATAAAATATGAAAAAAAAAATTTAAAATTAAATTATTTATATATAAATAATCAACTAAAAATAATTAGAAATTAATTATAAAATTAAATAAAAAACAGCCTTTTAAATTCTTGAACGATCTTGATACGGAGTTGTTCAATATTAACTTAAATTTGAATATAAATTATAACTTAAAATATAATTTAATATAAATAAAAAAAATTAAAAATAAAATGTTTTTATCACACAAAGAAATATCGGAGAAGAATTATGTGGAATACATACGAAGAATATATAATATTCTTTTATGAATGAAAATTTAAATTAGATAAATATCAAAAATTTATTTTTCTTGTCAACGAAATCTATTGGTAGTTTAAGTTTATGCTTTTTGTGCAAATGGATAGGACTATATATATATGAATATATTTAAAATTATTATTATTTCTGGCATCATAGTTAATAAAAATAATTACTATTTAGAAGTGAAATTAAATTTATGGTGCGCACTTATGACTCAATTTTAATTATATTAAAAAAGTCAAAGTACTATCAGAGTTGATTTTTCTTGAGTAAATGTAAAGTAACAAAAAAATACTAACAAATGACTTTATATCAATTGAGTACATAATAAATGTGACTCAAAGATGTTATATGTAAACATACAAATAAATGATCTTATATTAATGTTTCTTTTTCGTATTGCAAAATTAACTATTTCACCAATTTTGATTTTGCAAGATGAGAGGAAGAAGAAGATTTATACATATAGATCAAAGTATTTAATTTAATTTAAGATATTAAATTTTAATGTCATAAAACAATAAATAAAATAAAATAGTTATTCATCAAGAAGCCAAGAAAAAGAATCAGAGCGAGCAGTGAAACTTTTTATTCTGTTGCAAGAAAAAAAAATAAATTTCAAAATAAAAAAAGAAAAAAGAGGAAAAATGTATCTATCGGAAACCCAAATTAAGCTAAAGAACAAAAGAATAATAACCTAACGAAAGGCTTCTACGATTTGGAGGAGAAGGAAAGAGAGGACTGTGAGTGAGAGTGGTGGGGCCCAGCTGGTTTAATTGAACCCTTCTCTCTGCGTCAGTTGGCCGAAAGAGACTCTTTTTTAACTCCCTGTAAATGTGTGAAATTATAAGAAGATATCATGCTCTCTTATTTATAGATTAAATAATTAGTTCAAATTTTGAAGGTAATTTCGATTCCGTCCGCACTTCTCGCAATCCGTTAACTGATTTTTTAAATTTCATAAAATGCGCACTTACTATTTCTTGATTCTCAGTCGTAGGAGATTAACTTTTTAAATCTATTTTAATTTTTTTTTAAAAATAACAAAAGATAAATGGTTTTAATAAATTTTATTTTTTACAGTAAATAAATAAATTCCTGAAAATACAAATTCAATTGTTTCTTACAAAAAAATAAAGCATGCAAATTAAAATTATTTTTGGCCTCTTTTTTTTTTAAATTTTTATAGTTAAAAAGCAATTAACTATTAATTAGGTTTCATAATTCAGAGAGGTTGTCACTAATAAATACAGTGACAGTTTCCACAAATACACGTATTGAAAAAAAAGGAGAATAAAATATTTTTAATCTCTCCTATGTTATCAACTCGAGTGAATTGTGGACTCACAGCGGTTGTGTGGCTAACATTATTTATATAAAGAAACAGAGCACAAGTATGTCCATCACCGATCGAGATCGCTTTAAATCTTTGAGAAAATAGCTTGCAAGTTTGTTCAAGGCATAAAGAACCATCATTCGCTTAATGAGTTCTGGGAGGTTCGACTTCGAAATCCACCATCCCGGCAAATCTATACAGAATGGTGACTACATTAGTTGTTGCAAGAGTATAAGGATTACGGGATATGACCGCCATCATAGGGTGATCAGCTGAGTTTATCTAAGTTTATGGATGTTGAAAGCAATTGTTGGAGTGTCGACAAAGGTAATGAAATACTATGTGAGCAACTCGATTGAGAATTGAAAGAAAAAAAAAGATTATTTGGTTGTGAATGTAAAGAGTAAGGATAGACTTAAACTCATGTTCGACACAATCTTTGCTTTTATGAATATGAGCTATGATATGCTTCAAGGCCTTGTTAACTATCACGAATCAATGACATTTCAGGTGATTGATGAATTTTGAATTTTGAATTATCTATTATAAAAATTATTTACATTTTTAATTTGTTTCAATAGAGGAATATTTTGTATGATAAATAAATAGACATACAATACCCAATGAGTTTGAGATCACAGTGTGATTCAGAGTTTGACAACAGCTATTGAGTGAAGAATGTCTCGTGTATATAAAGATCTTTGTACTTTTTTACTAACAAAAATGTATTTTTTTAGCTTAATCCATTTATATTTGTTAATAAATATAAGAATTAAAGATGGAGGTGTGCACTTTTAACCAACACAGTCTCCTTTTAGTCATGAGCGGAACATTAAGAGATAATAGAATCTCATATGAAACAACAAACTTCTTCAAAGATGATTGTTTGGCCGTTGGAGCGTTCTACATCACTGATGATTACTTAGCCGTTGGGGTGCTCTACATCACCGACGTCTTATCGTCCATCAATGTAGACAATATTGATCAACAAAGGTTAAAGATGCTGCACAAAAAACTCATAAAAGATATTTTCTTTTAAAAAAGAATGAACATAATATAAGCTCACCAACTCGTAGGAGATGAACATTATTTTTTGCATTTTATTTTTTGGGGAGGAGTTTGAGGTCTCCCATCAAACACATCTTCATCACTTTTTATTTCTTCATTAAATAAAATATCTTCTCTTTTTCGTTTCTTAGTTCCTATTTCTTTCCTGGAATAAATTTTATATTAGTTTTAATAATTATATTACAAAAATTCAAATATCCAACTCTTGTAATTATTATTTTTATTCCTAAATGATTTATTGACTTAGTGCTTATTTTCATACTGTTTGATTATTTTCAATTTTTTCAATGCAATTTATACAGAAACATCCCTAATAATAATAATAATAATAATTACAAGAGCTTATGAGCATTTGAATGTTCTGCTTTTTGAAATTAATATTTAGGCAAAAAAATTTGGACTGAATA